ACAACCAAAAAAACAGGAAGATGATCATGTCCAATTTCATTGCGGGTGAGCAACGATGGATCGAACCGTGCAGGATTGAGCTGGCCCCCGTTTAATCGTTTTTTAGTGGGAATGATGGCGTGGGGTCCAAGAAGCGGAGATATGCGGATTTAAGACTTTCCACTAATATGTATTGCACATCAACCGTAGTCTAGTCTATCTGCACCAAATGTGGAAGTGTATTGCGAGCACGAGTACAATCTATACTACATGTAGTAAAAACAGCTCACTATGGGATATACAGCTAATGCTTCTACTAATGTAGGCGTCGTGTCTAGCGCGAGAGAAATCCTGCATTGGTATCATGCGGCTGAAATATACAGCGATCCGCATGAGCGAACAGGCAGAAGCCGAAGTTGGGCCCCCCATATGTAATTAGATAGGCGATCTCGGGTCCGAATCGGAAGGCCGAGAGGAGTTACGGGGTATGTCCAGATGGGACTTAGTTGATTATTAATTCCTATTTTTCCCTGACAAATTCTCGTTATGGATTCTAAGGTTTGAAGGAGCATAGCCAAGAGATAGTTGGAGATTACCCGAGACCCATGATCTGATGTTGCAACACTGGCGCCCGGCTTTTACGCCTTTAGCGGGCCTAGCTGCCAACAGCCAACAGCCAACAACAGCCAACACTTTGCGGCATTACCGGGGTTCGGGACAGGAGGTCACTGTCAGGTGTTCTCGCGCCAATGCAGGATTCTCAGTACGTTCAGCACTTGTTTTTAGTTCAATCGGTAGCTTGTTGCTTAGTGGGTTAGTCGACTAGTTGTACGGTTAACCAACAATATAACCAATGTACGGAGTATAACATGCATGCTCCACTAATCCAAGTTAAGCACTATTCTGCGGTCTTACATGCTCAAGTCCAGTAAAAGTGTCATGCCACGCGTTTTTAGATCTGACAGTTCGGCGTAGTTCGGAGGATCGACTCCGATCCTAGGTTCGCCTCGAAAACTATCTGAGCCTCAATAAGCCCGATCTATGGTTGGGCGATGAGGGGTTTTTGAGACCTCCGTAGGAATTACCCCTCGTTAGGAAATATTTGGTATCTCCTCGGAAATGTACTAGGTAATATAGGTATCATTGGAAACCGGCTTTTACATACGTCAAGGGGGATTACCTACCTATACAGAGTACCGATAGAATTACAGATTGGAGAACATTTTGTCTGGTCCGTTGTGGGGGAAGATATCTACTCTGTAGATATCCCCTCTTCCCTCTCTAGGCAACGGTTCTGCCCGCTCTAAAACTGTGGGTTCCCCGAGTGTTGCGCAGTCACTATGCGTCTCCCGTCCAGGGCCCATCCAAGACATGTTGGGTCCTGATATCCCTACCATGCAGCATCCATGGTGCATTTTTTTCGGAAATTTGCGCATCAAACGAGTCATTTTTTTTTTTAACCCTTGTCGGGGTTACCTCGTTTCAAATGTGGGAATTGGGGATTTTCAGGAAATGAGCTCGAGAGAAGAGTCCAGAACTATGGAGTAAATGGATTCTAGATTGAGGTCGGAAAAGGCCCCAATTAAACTACAACGGCTCATATCTAACATGCACAAGCAATTTCGAATAACAAACTAAGAAGTTGGCACTCGGTATTACCCAATTAATTGCGTGCTTCGGTCGTGGGGCAGTCGGCGGCTATCGCTAACGTTTAGCAACAGGACATAGCGTTCTTACGTTGCTGACTTGGGCCGGCTGCAGAAAGACCTGGAGAAACCGACAAGAATTTGGAATTCACAAACCCTACGTATACTAGATTCTCATAATTGAGAAACAAACAAAGAGCCCCCCTCCCCAGAAAAAAAATTTACAAAGAGAGAAAAAGTACAAAAAAGGGGAATTTCGACACATCTGATCTACGCGGCTCAGACAAAGAAGAAAAAAAAAGAGAAATCATCAGACATTTAGCGACAGGAGAAGATGATTGGTTAGATACATATGAATTTTGGACCAATCTGCCCACGTTCTGAATTTAAATGAAATTAATAAAAACATCAATTTCTTTTTATTTTAGTTTGAACGCCCTAGCTGATGGTTGGTCGTTAGAGTGCCAGGATATGCCAATTATGCACAACATGACTCGCGTGAATATGACAATAATTAAACGTGAAAATTACCGTGTTATTTTGCTGCAACCATGAATTGAGCACCAGCGACATGTCACTATTCAGGAAGGAGATGATCACTGGGTCGCAGGCGGGGTCAAGCGCGATGCATAATATCTGCATACACGCTTTTGGTGTACTTTGCTACATGGTCTGGTCCCAAAAAAGTAAATATGGAACCAGTCGGGGGTTGTATTGTAAACGATTAAAATTTACCACTATATTCTCACGTGATTGAAACGGGCTGCGGCTACGCGACTGACGAACGCCAGAAGTATGGTGATTGGACTTGGTGGAGAGCGGCAGACAAAGAAACCTGAGTGGGGAGGGGGAAAAGGCTGGTTTTAGCCCCGGGGGGAGCCATGTTGATCCGATCTGCACGGAATCGGGGGCTTCAGGGACTAGGATTGTCTTTTGAGGAGAGGCTTGCCAAGGGGGGTCTCGGAAGTAACGGGCCATACAGAGCGGGTGGATGACGCCCTAATTGAGTATGGATTTTACGCTTGCGCAAGTTGACTGCGCCGTAGAGATACGATCACAACGTTTCTGCCTTTTCTTGTTGTCTTCCTTTTTCTTCATTTTGTTTTTGGGACAATTTGAGGAGATTGCGTGGATTAATGTCTCCGAGTGATTAGAAAAAATATTTATATACCTGATACCATGACTATACCTGGAAATACCTAGGAATACCTATAGATACCTCCATATACCCTATATTATATACTTTCTCTTTCTCTTTTTCTTTTTCTTTTTCTTTTTTCTCAAATAGAATAGTCTAAACGGTAAAACCGTGAAGAAAATCCAAGGAAACCGTTGGCGGCTGCAGATGACTGACGATCGGCCTGGTCAAGGCGCAGATCGAGGGTAAAAATGGCGCAGAGGAAAATAATTTTCACGCGAGTAACATCACATGTAGTAAATAGGGGCGGGTCCGTAAGTGGACATATATCGGCACGGATTTTTAATATTCTATTTGAGGTATGCAAGTTGACTGCGCGGGAAATCCGCTTTCTGTATCGGCTGCTGCCGAGTTGACGCTGGAGCTCATTATTGGATTTCCCCAATTCCCCCCGCGTCCGGTGTTTGGAACAAAAAAAAAACAATCCATGGTTCGGTATATCTCGGTCAAGATTTGAGATCAGTAGGTACAAGTAATTATGTGTAGGAATCTCGGAAGCGCCGAAAAAAAACCCCCCTGAAGAGGCTAGAGGAGAAGGAAACTATGTGCCACGATTAAGGATCTCATCCCTCTTACCTCATAAGGCGCCTGGCACGAAAGACAGATGTGTTGGCAGTGCCAAATTGAGCTTGCATTAGCTCCTCGCGCTCATTCGTCCCGGCATCCCAGGACCATGGCGTACGTCGCAACAGATGACTTTTGCGTCTACCAATAGACGCCGCGCGTTTGTGTTGGTTTTTTTTTTGTCTCTTTAATTTCTGCACTCTTCCCCCTCCCCCCTTCCCACACATCTATGATCTCGGAAAAAATAAATAAAAAGGAAATAGAGGTTAAAAAAAAATTCAATAATAATAATAATAATAATAATAAAAAAACAGTCAGCACCTGACTGTATTAATTAGTCTATCCACTTCTCATATGAACAACGGGTTACTTAGTAGCGTTGGACAGCGTAAATGAAACACTGTCACTAAAACAGATAATGCACTCACGATTTCTTTTCTTCATCTCTTCATCTCTGTTTATTTTTATTTCTATTTTTATATTAACTTATATGTCCCCGAAGCTGAATCTCAATCGAGCCTATCACTTAACCGCTCATGCAGTAGCAAGGCTGCATCCTGTACAGAGAGAATGAATTATCTTGGTCTAGGAAAGTCCATTTATCCTCGAATGTTCTCGGGTAACTACTTTTTGATATCGGTTCTACAACAAACCAAATCCGGGATTTGTCATTCATAAATTTCGCCTTGGCGCTAAGATTGCAAAAGGCTAAAGGTAAATTGTAATTTTGGTTACCGCGTGGCCCCCGTTTTTTTTGTAACTTGCATAATATACAATACAAAAAAAAGAAAAAAGAAAAAAGAAAAATAGAAGATCGTCCGGATTGTGTCATAAAGCTAGAGGAGCTACCAACGGTATAGCCAAAATTGCTGCGAAACTTTCCTATACAAAGAAAAGAAGGACACAAAAATAAAAAAAAGGCAGGAATCGGAGTAGACCGAAGCCATTGCCACATCAAAAGATATCAACTTAAATTCGTGGCGAAAATAATAATAATAATCAACCTCCATACGGTGTCTCCACTAACACCGAACACGGAGTAATAGTCCGGTTCACCGGTCCATTTAATTCCCTTTATTATTATTTTAATATTTATATATTATATATTATTATTTTGAATAGCAGTCTCTCTGGGGGTGGAACCGAACCTCCCAAAAAAAAAAGGACCCCTGTTAGCCCAAGAAGTCTTGTGTATCCGCGGTACACAACTATACAGGGGGCCAAAGGAACACAACCAGACCCAGGCAGTCGGTCCAGTGCACCCAACAGCGCTGTTAGTTTGAGAACTATTTTTTTTTTTTTTTTTTGGATTTTCGAAATCCGTTTTTTCCTCTCTCATTTAAGACCGAGTTGTATTCCAGTGTCTTTTCTTTTTTTTCTAGAGTTCTGAGATCTATAAACCTTGCCCGTTACCCCAAAGGCATATTATACTTCCTTACTTTCTGTACTTCACATCGTCCATTGGCTCTCTGATATAGAACCTCTATATCCCCACATCTATTATCAGACCTGGTCTGAGCATTCTGGGGAATCCAAAGCTTGATCTCTATAAATTCCATCTTCAGCCAACTTCATACGTACTGGCAACCCAAACCAAGCTCATGATCTCCAACATGGCAACACACACAGAATCATACTCAACACTGCCATCAGCTCGTCAAAGCAAAATGAAAATCGACGCCTTACTCAACCCAGGCGATGGAGAAATCTCTCCACGAACCCAACACGCCTCAATCCCACCATCCCACCGCCACAGCTACCACCAACCCTCACCAAGCTTCCCCCCAAGCCCAAACTACTGGTACAACCGCTCCTACCACAACACCAGCCCAGGTGCACTCTCAAGCACAACAACAGCAACAACCCAGAGCACCAGCACAAACGCCAGTCACCACAGCGTAAACCCCTCTCAATCCCACCAGATGTTCTTCACCTACCGCCCCTCAACAAACAGCGCAAACGCACACCGCGCAAGCGCGAGCACAAACCAAAGCTCGCTGTCCGCGCCCTCTTCGCCGGACCCTTACCATCCTCGCGAGCGCTACTCAAGCGTCTCGAGCTCGTCCTCGACAAACGGCGACCGTCGTCGTCCCCCCCGTCCAAAGTACGAGGAAGAGGAAATGTACTTCATCTGGTACCACCGTGTCGATCTGTGTCAGGAGTGGAAGGAGGTCCGTGAGGCTTTCAATCGCCAGTTCCCGGACCGTCAGAGACGCGGTTTCCAGGGTATCCAGTGCAAGTTTTATCGCTTCATTAAGGAGAAGAAGTGTCCCACCCTGCGGGAGCAGAGGCGTATGCGGGATGGGGAGTTCCTGAGGGAGGGGGCTTCGGCTGCGCTTGCTGGGGACCATGGGGCGGCGCCCAAGTTTGGGGTTAGGGAATATACTAATGTTTGGTATCCTTGGATGAGGAAGGAGGGGGATGTTGCGTTGCGACGGTGATTTTTTCTTCTTTGTTTTGGGATGTGTTGGGGATTCGTTTTGGGAGGTCAATTTGTTCTACTGTCATTTGTTTTTGCGTGGGTCGGTCTTTGTCTTTATTTAAGATACCTCTGTTCAGCGTGGGAGGTCTGCTCGTCTTTTTGATGTTCTCTCGTTGCCCAAATCTTCCACCAGGGTTCCTGTCTTTTCTACACTTTCACTTCCTACACCCTTTCAACCTCGGAAGTTTGTTTTTTGGGTATAATATCTACAATACGTATGGAGCAATCCATACTGTGAGAGTCACACCATTCAGATTTAGATCTAGATATCATGATATTACTATGAAGACTCGGTTGAATTTGAATTAAAATCCTTTCTGGCCAGTTATTCGGTATGACGAATCACACATAATCTCTGCATATCCAAGATTACCCTCTCTGCATAATTGTTCAACCACATCCGCATCCCCAGACAATAACCCTTGCTTTTTGTCCTGGAGGCATGCATTCCAAATCCCGAGCAATGCACATGGTCCTTCCTCACCTTCGATATTCGGCTCAGCCCCGGCCTCATCTGACCTCCCAACCCAGGAAGGATAGCCGGAATAACCGTTGGATTCGACCCGTTGAGATTATAGATCATACATATGATACCAAGCATCTGCTTGGTATTTGTACATATGCAACACGGACCACCAGACCACCAGACCACAGCCATCGTGTGATTCCCACTAGAACAAAAGAATATTACTTCGAATTCCGAACTCCGTACGGAGTAGAGAGTACAACCCGCTAATCAGCACAGCAGGCCGAATCATGCTAAGAAAAGAACTTAGTTATCCACAGCTCGGCCAATCCATCAGATCCGTCGATCGTGGGATCCTAGTCCTTCACGCCATATTTCATCTAAGTATTCCATATACGTACTAAGTATGAAGATCAGGTTCTGTGGCCTCGCTACTCCGTAGTACGAACTCGACCATTTCTGCTACATGATGCGAGGCGGGGTGGGTACTTTTTTATTTTATTTTTGCAACACACTGATATTCTCTTTCCTATCTCCATTCTTCGGTTCACAGTGCATGGAAGAACACAAGAACGGCGGAGCAATGTACCTGTATAGATTAGTACTTCCCATTGGAGCTTCCCAGGACCGAGACTATAGGCATGCTAGGGGTTTAGGCTAAAGGATCGCATTGTTAGTTCATGGTACTTATGTACAGTTCCATATATACCTTGGGGGCCAATTGCCATGCTTTCAATGGGGTAATCAGAGGTGTCGTTTGATATAAGGTGATTTGTTGCTCCATATTTAACCAATTTATAGATGTGTCTAAGGAGAATCATACTAGATTGTACAATATATAGTACTAATAGTTGATATTCTCGGCGACGATTCTAGCACTAATAGACAAAAAAAGAAAGAAAAAAACGAACTGACATGTCGCGCTTCGGCATTTGCTTTCTTTGCTTTTGTTTTTGTTATCGTCCCCTTTTTGATCTTATCTACTTATTGTTCTAGTTCGGTGACTGGGATTGTAAAATAGAGATCGTCGAAAAACAAAACATGAATGTAAATGGGGCCAATCCTGCCACTCCCTAGCGTGTCCGAGTTCGGGAACTCTCCCGCGGTTTCCATGGCTTCTTTCTTTTTTTTTTCTTTGACAGAAAGATAACTCCCGATCCAATGTCTCAGCCTCATTGTTTTTAGGCATTATTGGACGGTTGTGTTATTCCGGGCTGTGGGGCGACGAAATAAGGGGCCGATATGTAAGTTGGGCGTGTTGAGTATGTTGTAAATGCGCCTATATGAAATGCAAAAATATTATATGTGTACTAGTCTGTAACGAAGAATCTATGAATTGCGGAGGCTTTGATATCTAGATATTTAGATAGTCTATTGAATGTTATACGGGTGATATAGCCTGTGATCGGTGGCTTTCCGAGGGAAAATTCAGGCGTAACTGTACTTCGGCCATTATGTATAATACGACCTAGCTGCAAGCGAATTGTGGATTTATGGATATTTTCACATTTATACTTTTCATATTTCTATACTCGGTGTACGATCTAGGTAACATGAAGTGCAGAAGTGTAGAACAAGACTGAGCTCTGCAATATAGAAGTGACACAGCCTACTGTGTGACAGAGCTGCGACACAGGAACCAATCTTGAATTCAAGGCTCAAAATTCGAAAGTAGTACTGCATATGGGGCAATTGTATGCATGTTTCAAAGGTTGGACTGGCCTGGACTGGAATTCTAGGACAGCAAAGTGGTGTATAATGTATGTATATTGTACTCTGTATATATTTTACTAATAGTTATACTAATATACTAATATACTAATATACTAATATACTAATATACTATAATACTATAATACTATAATACTATAATACTATAATACTATAATACCAGTTCATCCCGAAACTAAAGCGATCCACCTCGGTTCGACATCCCCGGCACTACAATTCGCACTAAATTCCCAAAACCCCACAATAAGCTCCAATCGACCACTATCCCTCTTCACTGTCGAATTTCATCAGCACTAATATGGAAAAAGCAAGAGGGGCACTACAAATGCCGATATAGTTTGTGACTAGTCTAATTTCAATTGGCCAATTAAATAGGGCTTATTACGTTTATACTTTGGCGCAATTGTGTCCTTTGGTGTCGGATATTTTCTTGAGACGGCATTGAGGTTGTGCGAGCGTGTACTACGTAGGGATCTAGGGTTGTACGGCTAACGTTATGTGTCAGGCATTGTCATGGTTGACCTGCATGTCGATGTTGGATTGCTCCTACCGTAGCAGCTGCTGTACACCGTATATAGGAGTTTCTACAATCCGTGGTGGCTCCTGTGTTCCCATAAAATCCTCGATTGAATGTTAACTTGTATTTCATTGATTGGGCTACGCTAGATAGAATCATGTCCTAACAAAAGGAAGAACCGCTAACTGAAGACCCATCGAAAACAAATAGCAAGATCTGAATTCAGAAGTGTTCGCTTTTAGCTCCATATTTCCTTCACTGTGATCAAATCAAATAGCCATAATGACTATTCACCCCGCCGGGGGCTGTCGATGGATATGGAGTTCATATCCAACTACTCCACGGCGAAGATGGCAGAGAACATCAAGTTGGGCTCATCCATGAAGTGGAACCCCTCAGAAAGAGCGCATCTGATGGGATAACTAGTCAGTAAAGATCTCGCGTGGAACTGTAAACCGGTAACCTACGGGTCAGCTTCGAAGCTGGCAATGCAGTCGTACGCTCCCTCCTTGATGCATTGCAAGAAGTCCCAACCGTCGTGAAGGTCATAGAAGAAGATGTAAACATCAACACCACCCTTAAAAAGGCAAGTTAGTAAGGACCAAAAGCATAGAGATACTGGCATCTAAACTCACCTCAGCCTGCTTGATCAGAATATGGTCAAAGCTCTTGCTACCCCAGACAGGGTCAACGGCAATACCCAAGATATTCTCGTTGTCGCTAGACTTAAAGCCAGTTGGAAGACCAGAGAGACAAAGGACACGGGAAGCGCCCTCTTCGACACGGCTCGAAAGCTCGGCGTTGTCCGGCAGACCCTCCTCCGGCATGGTAACGGAAATAGTGAGGTCGTCATCACCATCCTTCAACTTGATGCCGTCGGAGTGGTTCTCATGGTATTTGACGCAGTCGTCTTGCTCAACAAACTGCACAATAACTTCGCCGTTCTCACTCCAAACGCGCTCGATAGCACCACCGTAGACAAGCTGTAGGATGCTAGAGATATTCGCCCACTCAGGAAGATTTCCGAAAACGATTCGACGAGCAGGTCCAGTAGGCGCAACCTTGGGTGCCATTTGCTTCTGCAATTGAAGCAAACGGAATTGCTTCATGAAATCAGCGGGGGCAGTAAGACCTCTGGTCTGCTTAGGAGAGCCAGTGGACTCCTTGTCTCCGGTGGACTCCACCTTCTGGGATGTCTTAGAACTAGCAATTGAGTCATTGTCTACATCCTTGCTTTCGGTATCAGCTTTGGCAGGAGTTGCCTTGCGAATAGTACTCTTCAGAGGCGCATGAGCGACTTCATCCTTGGGTCCACGGGCCTTGGCGGCGGCGGCAGCAGGAACAAATGGCTCAGCACGAGGATCAATACCAGAGGCCTTCTGAGAGTCGGGGGTATGCAAAGAAGTGACACGAGAAGGGACATCCTTCGGAGTGGCAACGGGGACACGCGAGTCAGTCAAACGAGAAGCAAGAGCTTTCTTGTCCTATGAAATATCAGCGTGAGACATAAGTAACGTAACAAAGAGACACGAGTGTTCTTTTCGAGAGTGGTGGGAGTTGGAGGAGTCGATGAACAAAAATAAAAATAAAACAAGATCAGAGAAGGGAAGCGAGTAAAATAAACATGCAGTGGGAAAGATCGAGGTGTGGATGGGGAGAAGAGTGCGACATACCCTTTCGACCCTCATGGCCTTCTCAATATCCTTTGAGGCATCATAGAGCTTGGCGGGGCCATTCATCTCCAGCTGGGTGGAGCGACGAGCCTTGACGCGAGCTGACACTGTCTGCACGCCAGCAAGGCGATCGGTGCGAGCCTGCTTGCGAACAGCAGCAGGGGCATGCATGCTCTCCTCCAGGCTGATCATGTCGCAGTTGGAGATCACGTCGTAGATGACCTTGGTGGTGATACGAATATCAGCCTGTCTGTCGAGAGTGATTGGAGCAAGACCGTTAGGTCCAATAACCTTAGGTTTCTCCATGATGCAACAAAACAAGAAATCAGGATGAGGCGGAGAAGAAGAAGAAGAAGAAGAAGAAGAGAAGAGGAAAACAAAACAATTCATTTGGGAGGTTGGATGCGCGTATGCGTTAGGATGGTTGTGTTTGATTTGGGAAGGCACGGCTCTTGCCTCTTGAGTCGGGGAAGGAGCAGTCGACTTCATCCATACTATCCACACTATCCATACCAGTCATACTACCATGGATATTACTATAACTAGGTACTGCCTTTCTCATTCCAAGACCAAGTCCGAAGATCCATGGACATCAAGATATAATGGCCCAGGTATATATGTCAGATACTCTTAACATGTTCAATTAGAACAGGTCTGTAGAAAGACACGTTCTCACGATATCGAACGAAGCAACCTCCTAATGAATAAATAGTGTTCTTTATTACTCTTCTAGGGACTACTGGTGCTTTCATCAACCTGTCCCATTGTGTTCTAGGTGAATCTCGTTCATCAGGCTACTAAATACCGAAAAAATGGTTGTGATACTTTCGAGCGTGCTAGCAAGGTAACTTCAGCTATTCTTATCTGCAATATAAAACCTTGTAGATAAATATAAACGGAGATTGCATTGCTCTTTCGAGTCAGTTTTAAACTCCTAACATTCCCTCTTCACGCCACTGTCTTACCTCATGATCTTGCTATAGCCTCGCTGTTATGTGTCAACCTCACGTCCATGTTCTTTTGCCTCACAAACCATGCATTAACAATCTCCCATTCTGCTCTGGGATCATTGAATTCAATCTGAAGGAGCCTCAGTTAGTGTCAGATTCCAAATCCCGGGTTGAAAGCCGTATTCTCACCTTGTATCTTAGAAATAGCGACGGGATCAACTTGTATATCTCAAGCAGACTGATATTCTTGCCTATACAAGTCCTCGATCCAGCCCCGAAAGTAAATGTCGCACGCATCATCTTCTGCTTCCTGTCCTGGAAACTGGTCTCAGACTCAGTATCCATCTTGAGCCACCGTTCCGGGACAAACGACTCAACATCCTCCCCAAAGACGTGAATCCGATGTACTATCCACGGATTGGCACCAACTATCGTCCCAGCCGGCAGAAATGGACCACCATCAGGAAGTTGGAGCCCCTCGGCGGGCACGACCCGCTCAAGCATCAATCCTACAGCCGGGTGAAGACGTAGTGCTTCTTTAATCACTGCATCGAGGTAAGGGAGTTGCTCTTGGCTTTGTTTCCATGAGACAGGTAAAGAGATCCGATTTTCTTCCAAGGCAGTGGTGAGCTCTTGCTGCAGTTTCATACTTGCTCGCGGGTTCTTAAGGGTGTAATAAAGAATTGCTCGGAGAGAAATTGCCGTTGTGTCGGAGCCAGCATTCATGTTGCTGATAGTGTATGAGAAGACTTGGTTATCACTCACAATATTCGGGTGCTCATTTCTTGCTTCTAAAAAACGATCGAGAAAGTCCTTTTGCTTGTTGGCCACTGGGGACGTGGTTTTCTGGTTCAATCGTTCGTCTAGTCTTGCGCGAGCAAAGCGAGCCACAGCTCCGGTTGAACCCCCTCCGAAAAGGCTCTTGAGAGGGTTCTTGATGAAAAGGTAGTCGAGCCATGGCATTTGCCCAATCTATCTCTCAATCTCATTAGCCGTGAAGTTAATTATCTGATACATCGAAATGCCAACCTTTCCGGAATAGTCGAGCATATGCTCCAATGCGACGATGATTCCGTCGATATCATCCCCTTTCTCGAGGAACCCAAGTGGCTTACTGAACGTCAATTCTCCTATGACATCAAATGCATCTTTTTGAGCTATATCAGCTCCAGCTCTCCTGTCTCACGGGGAGGAGGAGACTACTTACAGTATTGTAGCCAAATAGCAATATCGCAGACTTTTGCTTCAGCAACAACCTCATCTAGTTTCCCAAATAAGGTGTGAATAGTCTTATCTACAAAAGGCTCAAACTCGGTCAGGGTACTCATTGAGTAAGCTGATGAGATAGGCCTTTTAATAGCAGCATGGAAAACTTCATCGGTTGTAGTAAATAGTGTAGGCGTCGGTCTGCCTTTGGCAAGCTGCTGCTGAACACAATAGAAATTTGTCTTGCGAATGTTAGCTAAACAAGAAAAGTTAATTAGCTTCTTGTAACTTGAACTCACCTTTTGATATCCCTTATTGATGCCATATATAGTTTTTAAAGCATCCAAATTCCGCACACTGACCACGTTGGGTCCTAGTCGAACATAGTCCCCATGTTTTTGGTGAAGGTTGTAAAGGGTCACTTCTGCGCGACCATTAGCAACATCGATGAATCTCCAAAGGTTTGTTATCTTAGCCAGTAATGGTCCGGGAATTGACTTTACTCCTGGTTTGAGATAATTGCGAGTGAAGTGAAACAAGGCAAAAGTGACAAGGATGGCTGGTAGGTGTGACCAGATTAAGGTCAATGCTTCTGAGATGATGGCCATGATAAAAACCACAGGTATTTTATGCTAGTGTCTTAGTATACCTAATTACTAGACATACTATTTATACTCCTTAGATTGGGGAAATGCGGGGGAATGCGGGGAAATGGGAGAATTCCGCTATTGTAGCTACCCGCGGAATGAGCCTCGCATGGTGGTCTCAAGAGCGGGCATTTTTGTCAATGCCACAGGTGCTCAGAGATATAAACATTGGTCCACGTATTATTCATATATAATGCCCCTAAAGGACTCTAACAAAACTATCAATACACCAAAGGCACCAAAGGATAAGCAAATCTATATAACAAGAATGAGTAGAGTGATATCTGATTCCAGAACATTAAAGCTTCATCGAAGGGACAGGAATGCTCTCGAATCCTTTCTGCCCGGGCTTGCGGTTTTCAACAATAACTTGAAGACCACGACGACCACAGTAGCCATCATTGCCTGCAACCCGATTAACAACTCGGAAAGAGCCGCCACCATCGTTTGCAGCATCCGGAACCCACACAGTCTCCTGCACAGTTTGACCGGGGACTTCCGTGCGACGGGGATTGTGCCAAGGCAGACCGACAAGATGGTTTCCAAGGTTATGGAGGAACGCGTACAGCCCCTCGAAGCGGCGGGTGATTCCCAGCCAAGAGAGGGTGCGGTGGTCATAAGCGGTCCGCACGAACGGGTTCATATAGATACCCGTATCGGTGATCTCGTCGACGTTGGTTGGCAGGTCTTGGATGTCCGCGTGGATGAGACAGCATTCGGACGCCTCCCAGAAGAGATCGTGTCCGGAGCGGAAGCGCGCTGGGTTGGGGGTTGTAGGCGGCGGCGAGCCTTTTTGGAAGTATTTAGCATCAAATGCCACCATTCCACCCCAGCAGCTGCGCACTCGCACTGCGTCTTTGCCGGCCAGCACATCGCTTCGGCTCTCGCCTTTGCCGGATGTAGTGAACCATGGGTAGAAGGGGAGACCCATGCTGTAACCTTCAAGATCGCGGGTGGCATATGTGTCGTAGAATTTGATGGGGTTGTCGAAGTCTACGGCGCAGGCTGCACGGTATTGGGCAACACCGTCTTCGTTAGCGTTTGTTGAGAATAAGAGCTGGGGAACATCGGAGGGGTGGAAGAGGATATCGTTCAGATATAGTAGTTTATCGAATTTCAGCTCCGGGTGGTCGGTCAATGGTTGTAGTGCTCGGTTCCGAGCCTGGGCCAGATATTCGATGCGCTTAATTCTCTTTGATCCACCGGGAATGGTCACCGTCGGCAAACTCTTCAGGTCCAGGTGCTTTTCAGACACAATTGACTTCTGGCACTGCACTTTCTCCTCTAACGCGCGCAATGCGCGCTCTCCCTCATCACCGCTATCGTTCTCATAGATACTCAGGAACACATTGTCAGGCCCAAGCAAATCAATCAACTCCAGGAGTTGTGTTCCCCATTGACCCTGAGCAAGCTTGCCACCACCATCATACAGACTTGCTGCAATAAAGACCTTCTCTTGGCGGGGATTGCCTCGTCCGGGATATGAGCTTTCGAGTACTGATTTGCGGAGTGTAGAGTAATGCGCGGGCGGATGGGTATATGATGGGAAAAGTATCGAGGTGAAAAGCGCGAGTACAAAGATGATGCCGGCGACAACGGGGAGGTAGCAACAGCGGCGAATACAGAAACGTCGAGAACAGCTCGGTCGTGGTGTGCCAGCGAGGGCCGGTCTGGAAGGGTTGTTCAGGCGGCGATAACCTGCTGATGCCGAAGAGAGAAACCGGGATAGCCAGGGCAGTTGGCGTCTGCCAAATTTGGATGAAGAAGGGACTTGGGCTTCAAAATCGGCCTCGTCGATGTTGAACGTCCCCTGCGAGTCGACTGAGGACCGTGAGGCAAGCTCCCATTCATCGGGATGGAGTAGTCGTGCAGTCATGGTGGATCGTGTCACCAAATGGGTATACACCCTTGGGACTAACTTCAACTGAAAATTGATCCAATGAGATGGCCCGTTGCAGCCATTATTGGTGATATCGTCCGGCCCCAAAGAGAACTTACATCATCAATATAATCACGTGATAACGGCAAGTATATGAGGGATGTACAACATGAAGCTCAAATATTTCTGGGCTTAGATGAATATGATTGTAGATAGGGAAATAAAACACCGAACAAGAGATCTAGATGGAGACCCTCCTTGTCCATTTCATCATTTGGGTAAGTCCAGTAAGAAACAAATGTGTAACGTGATTTTCCGATGGAGGTTCCGATATGTAGTGACGTAGCTGTAGTCGGGGCACCCGTGGAAGCCCAGTCCTGATCGCGCCCAGATGAAATCATTTATCTTTCCATCCACTCTCTGTGTTCACTTACTTTGAACTGCCAAATTTCACACTTAACTTACTCACTTGTTCAAATATCCGCGGCGTCGTGACTGAACATACTTCATCTGTGACCATACTGTTTCCCCGCATTCCACAGCCCACCATGTCGCAATCGCAATTCAAATTCATCAACTCAGATGCCGAAGTCCCTGGCAATGGTAGTCCTCCCCCAGAGTTTA